AAACTGAAAAATAAGTATTGAAAATGTAATCCCGTTGAAATAGTAATGTAAATTTTTAGCTTGAAGAGAAAATAACAAATGAAATTTCAACTGTGTAGAAATAATGACAATTAACTTCTTTTTAGGTCAAAAATGTGTTCCGAATATATTTTAACACTGAAACAGTAAGTACAAACATACAACATTTACATTTCAGTGGCATTTTTAATTCCAATCCCAGCGACACAGATTTACTTCCATAAGGTTAGTGTTTTATACTGGAAAAAACAAAAATGTTTTTTACTGATCTCTTAGACTTTAAATGGCCTTGTCACTACCTGATCCGCACCAGAGGCACGATCCATACATTGATGTATTATACATATATATAGATCACATCACAATGATTGTGAAAATCATAATATTGTCTAACCTCCTAATACCAAACAGTAATAATTGTTATTATGGAACCTTAGTAAATCCTTTTTTCCAGCAGAAGTATTTTGGGGTCATAATCTGCCTTATTTCATTAGAATCAACCAGCTTTAAAGCAAAAGAACTCAAATATATAGAATTAGAGTCTAACACAGATTTTAAGCAATGCTTACCATTTAAATTACAGAATATTTGGTATAAAACTCACACTACATGTTACTAATCATTTAATCGGCTCATATTTAAAAGGATGCAGCACATTAATCCACTGATATTAGCACATAACATTTAGTTCCTCCTTGCTAATTAAAAAATGTGTTCCTATGTTTATTTACCTGTTTCCAGGTAACTGGCAGGAAGTGCTGCGCAAGTACATCGACCCAGACCAGCTTCCCGTGGTTTACGGAGGAACTTTGACTGACCCTGATGGCGACCCTCGATGCAGAACCATGGTGAGAGGAGGAGGGAACCTGAAACGGCTGCACAGTTTGACCGAAGTGATTCACTGACCCCGTTTTGTCATCAGATCAACTATGGTGGAACCGTTCCCAAGTCGTACTACGTGCAGGAGTCTGTGAGAGTCCAGTATGACAGCAGCGCGACCATCAGCCGCGGGTCGAGCCTACAGCTGGAGTATGATGTCACTGCTCCCAGCAGCCTCCTGAGGTACGACAGCAGCTGCGACATATGGTTGAAAACACACCGACATGCAGAGAGAAACAAAGGTCCTGAGACATTTTAATAATATTCTGTTACTTTAAACAGAATTTAGGCTGCCCTGCAAGGCTTTAAACCTGGGTTTAAATGGAGACTAAGCCATTCTAAAGCACATAT